TTTTTTTTTTTTGGAAAGAGCAAATAGTTTGGCTGTTAAACGGTTACACAACTGCTCTCTCTCTGCCTGAGATGTATTATTGCTGTCTGTTCAGCGGTTAATGTTTGCTGCTCAGCTGATGTTTTCATAGCTCTGTTTTTTTTTTCATTTTATTTGACTACTTAAAAACATTTGATCAGTTTTACAATATTTTTGCAAATTTTGATTTAATTTTTTCTTTCCAGTAATTTTATTAAATTTATTAATCTTATAATCAGTTTAAATTTAACAAAATATAATTACACACACATATAACTGAAACCATTCCTTTAGTATAAATTTGCTTTTGATCTTCAGACTTTTGTACAGCTTTTTTTTTTTTTTCCATTTTCTAAATAATTCATAAAACTTAGTTACAAATCAATTCTCCTATAGTATCATAGATTTTGTTACTTTTGTGATACAATTTTTTTTTTCTTTTTTGCTTTTGAATGTTATTTGTAACAGTTAAAAATATATCGTTTTGCTGATGAGATGTTCTGTTACTTAAAAAAATTAACAGTGAAAGTTGATAAAGGGGTCATTATTTAATGTTGCCGTTTCTGTCTTTACTAAAAAAATTAATTTTTTGAACGCAAATGTTTTCAAAAAAAAAAGTCTATCATCATTTTTTTTGCGTTTACAACTCTTATTTATATGCATCTGATATAACTGGTTGAATTTTAAAATTTTAAAAAATTGTCAGCTTTATGTCTCAAATGAACAATTTTTTTTTTATGTATCTTCCTAGAGACCGTTATTTATGCAAAAATTATAAAATAACTGCTCAAACCGTTTTAATGACAATGATGACAAAAATTCAATTTCTTTTTGATGTATTACCATCTTATTTTTCATCGTTTAATAATCGGATCAAAGCTACAGAAGCCTCAGCTTTTCTCAGCGCTAATAGCATACCAACACATTTGTAAAAGTAATTAAATTATGATTTTATAATCACATATCAGACGGAGAGTATTCTTTAATTTTTTTTTTTTATTATTTTGCTATCAGACAAAGTAGCAGAGGAGTTTTGTTAAATGAAATTACTGATGAAATATTTTTAGCAGAAATTTTCACTGATAATTGATTTATGCACTGAACAAAAAAAAAAAAGTAATTTCACTCTGTAAACAGATAGAAAAGAGATGTGAAGAGATGTCGTCAACGTCTCCACTGGCAGCATCTAATTGATCTACAGAAAACCGTTAATAACTGTCGGCCTGTATCTAACCGATTAGATACTGTTGAATGGCCAAAGCATTGTAGATTCTATTTTCCGCTGTCTAGATTTTTTTCATTCAAAAGAACTGATAAGGTAATATAATATGTGTTGGTAAGTTAGTTTTTGAAAAGAAAACAACAAGAAAAAAAAGTAGCTAATTACGTGCAAAGTTTAAAATTATAGAAAATTTTTTACATCTGTAAATATTTTAGCTGCTTCAATTGTTTTAAACATAAAAAGTGATAAAGAAGATTTTGCATTTTTGCTATCTCAAACTGTAAATATCTCATAACTACTTGAATTTTTTTTTAATTTAATTTATTTTTCTTTCAATTTTTAAATGACAAATATGTTTGGTAACGAATAAATTATTGATAAATCGAAAGATAAATTGTTTTTTTTTTTTCTTTAGAAAGTTTCGACTATTAAAAATTGCAA